CCTTTGAGGAAGAAATGCCGTTGACTTCTATCAGTCAGTTTAATAACATATATTTAATGCCCTCATTAGTGAAATATCCCGGTTTCTGAGAAGTATTGAGGATTGTGTTTAATTTCTTATTATATGCTGCTCTTGTAGAAGTAATTTTAGGCATCTACCATTTCATTACTTTTTTTTTCCTTCCTTTGGCCGAAGCACATGGTTGCTTACATATGGCTTGTTCAATTGAGAGCATATAACAGCATGTGAGATGTTCATTATAATTCATAGTACCACCACATGCCGTCTTTGCCCAGTAAAGTGAAAGTTCCCATCTATAGCTTCCATATAAGACCTGACTACACGTGCAGGTTTCTGAACAGATTCTTTATCCATGGACTTGAGCTGTTGTGTTCGTTTACATTCTTTGTTCTAAATTTTGCGGTTACTGCAATACGTAAAGAAATAAAATGTAGACTGTGTGTTACGTTTTTTTTTTTTTTACTTAGCGTTAGCTGGTGCTCGGACGGTCGAGTGCTTCTCTGCTGCATTGACTTGTACGGCAAGCCTGATGGCGCACCAAAATCACCCGCCACTGCTCCACCCTCACTCCATCCCTAACATGCTCCCCAACCCTGTCCTGCCACTTAAAAAGCGGTGGAAGATCTTGCTTTGCAGCTCCGCACTGAAAGACCAGCTGTTGCTCGTTACCAGGGGCCAGGTGCCGAGAAACGAATTTGCATTCCCGTTAAGAGGAGATCATTTCCTTCCAGTGCATCTGCCGGAGAGCTCAATAAAGTTTTTTTTAATTCCTTCATTTAAATATTTAGCGGCGTATACGGGACATCACACAAGCTATCTAGACACCGTATACACGTCACTATGTCAAAGACGCAGTGTTGCGTGAAGCGGAGGCTCCGAAAAGCAAGTTCACGAAGCCGAGGCAAACACGGTAAGAGCGCTCATGGTTCTTAGGGCACCAAGCTCTGACCAACTGGGTTGGGCCAACGTCACCTCCTGCCGCCGCTCCTAGACAAGGACGACGACGACAGCGTAGCTCTGGCCGACTGGATTAGCCCGACGCCATCTCCTGTCGCCGACAAGAGCTCTCGTCAGTGGTGCCCCGTCCTCGAACTCCTGCAACCGTGTCCATCTTTCCTGTCTCCTTACTTTCGTCGCTCCCTGTCCCTGCGCCTCGCTCTCTCCTTCCTCTCTCTCTGTCTCTCTATCTTTTAATCTTATCCTTTTTTTCCCTTCTCTACGCCCCTCCCTTGTGAGCTACTGCTGAGGTGTCCTCCCTTTGAGAGACAGTTACGGGGCTCACTTTTCTTTTCATTTATAATCACTTCCCCCCAAGGGTCGCTGCAAGGAATGCCGCAAGGGGGTCATCACGCATGGACAGCTTCGGTGTACGGCGATTTCCACGCTATAAATGATGGACCATAGACTTTCTCCCTCTGCATCTCTCTCTTTCGAGTCATGAGTGAAGGTGTAGCGTGGTTAAGCTATAGCACGTCTACTGCAATTAAAAACAGTTTCAGAAATCCCGGTGCATCCCTGCTGGCCCACTCACGTCGCCCGTACAGTAACGCAAGACACCGCAAAAATTATTATTATTATTATTATTATTATTATTATTATTATTATTATTATTATCACCGATGCGGTGCAGTTACCTGACTTACTGGCGCTCGTGCTCTGCAGAAGCTGGCTCGCTAACGCTTAAGACAATTGCCTTTGGAGCGTAGGAGCTAGGTTCGACTCGAATCACTGTATGAGAGTTTATTTTTTATTGAACAATAAACAGTGTTTCATAGTTCTATTTAATTGCTTTTATCTATTCTAGGTGACATAAACACGGACAGACACGCTATTTTAGTCGTTGATTGCGTTGGGTGCTGACGCTCTACACATCATCACTGCAGAACGTTAGGCCATTCCACAAGGTTTCCAGCATAGCGAAACAATGCGCCCAGTTCGTTTGATCAAGCAAGCATCCGGCCATACCCCATTGCTTAGGGCCATCGGGGCAATAATGTTTACAATAGGAGAAACATGAGGCAAGGGTTCCCCTGATGTGCTGGCTTCCCTGCAATAGATGGTCAAAACCAGCGAAAAAAGTTGAGGCCCTTATCACCCCTGATAAGGCTCAAATTTTGTCTGACGTCACATCTTCTCACATGGGCGTACTGTACGTTTGTTCCTAGCTAAAGCTTACCCTGAGAAGCTGGCTTCGCCGCAGTGCATGGTCAAAACTAGCGAAAAAAGTTGAGGCCCTTATCACCCTTGATAAGGCTCCACTTTTTGTCTGACGTCACGCCTCGTCACGTGGGCGTACTGTACGTTTGTTTCGAGCTAAAGGGCCTCGAAATTTTTCGCTGCGTTAGACCATGCTTTGCGGTGAAGCCAACTGTTTAAGGTAACCTTTAGCCCGAAACAAACTTACAATACGCCCACGGGAAAAGCCGTGACGTCAGAAAAAAGTTGACCCTTATCAGGTGTGATAAGGGCCTCGACTTTTTTCGCTAGTTTTGACCATGCATTGCGGGGAAGCCAACTTCTTAAGGGAACATTTAGCTCGAAACAAACATACAGAACGCCCACGTGTAAAGTTGTGACGTCAGACAAATGTTGAACCTTATCAGTGGTGATAAGGGCCTCAACTTTTTCTTCTGGTTTTCACCATGCATTGCAGTGAAGCCAACTTCTCAGGGGACACTTTAGCTCGAAACAAACCTACAGTACACCCACGGGACAAGACGTGAGGTCAGAAAAAAGTTGACCCTTATCAGGAGTGATAAGGGCCTCAACTTTTTTCGCTTGTTTTGACCATGCATTGCGGGGAAGCCAACTTCTTAAGGGACCCTTTAGCTCGAAACAAACGTACAGTACGCCCACGTGACAAGGCGTGATGTCAGACAAAAGTGGAGTTTTATCAAGGGTGATAAAAGGGCCTCAACTTTTTTCGCTGGTTTTGACCATGCACTGCGGCGAAGCCAACTTCTCAGGGTAAGCTTTAGCTAGGAACAAACGTACAGTACACCCATGTGAGAAGTTGGGACGTCAGATAAAAATTGAGCCTTATCAGGGGTGATAAGGGCCTCAACGTTTTTACTAGTTTTGACCAACTATTGCAGGGAAGCCAGCACATCAGGGGAACCCTTGCCTCATGTTTCTCCTATTGTAAACACTATTGCCCCGATGGCCCTAAGCAATGGGGTATGGTCGGACGTTTGCTTGATCAAACAAACTGGGCGCATTGTTGCATTGTTTCCTTATGCTGGAAACCTTGTGGAGTGGCCTAACGTTTTGCAGTGATGGTGTGTAGAGCGTCAGCACCCAACGCAATCAACGACTAAAATAGCGTGTCTGTCCGTGTTTATGTCACCTAAAATGGATATAAACAAGTAAAAAAAACTATGAAACATACTGTTTATTGTTTTATAAAAAAGTAAACTCTCATAGTGTTTCGAGTCGAACCTAGATCCTACGCTCAAAAGGCAAGAGTCTTAAGCGTTAAGCTATGCACCAGTGTCTGCACAGCGTGAACGGCAGTAAGCCAGGTAACTGTATTGTACTGGTGACAGAAATAATAAAAATGAAATATACTTCCTGCGGCGCCTTTCTGTGTCTTGTGTCACTGTACGGACGACGTGAGTGGGCCAGCCGGGGCGCACCGTGGTTTCTTCAACTGCTTTTAATTGCAGTAGACGTGCTGTAGCTTAACCCTGCTGCACCTTCACTCTTGACTCGAAAAAGAGAGAAGAGAGACGCGGGCACGCGCCTTGATGAAAGGCAACTGGGCAACGTGAATCCCGTTTCTTATTCTTTAGCTTTGTTCTGCTTTCTCCACTGTGCTTCTACTTTCCTTCTCATCGTGTTGGAAAAAGCGGTTACAAGATGAGCACTCTTGCAGGGAGGAAAGCAGCATCGGCAACGCCCGGCTCGCTGTATGCACATCATCTTCACAGGCCAATTTGTTCGGGGCAACCACTGCAAGGCACTGCGCCATGTCTGTCGCCCAAGATGCAGACAGCAATTAGGTGCCTTTTCCTCTCCTTTCAAGAATCACGCATCCCTTTCAAGACTCATACAACAATAACCACGAAATTTCAGTCTTATTGTGTTGACGAAATGTTACGGGTGAGTGGGCGCCCCTCATGTCTGTTTGCTGTGCTTGAGCGAGTGTGCATGTCGTTAGCTTGCACTGGCATTTAAGCCGGGTTCCTGGCGACAGTTTTCTTGGCAGAGACACCTTTTCACCTTTGCTGTCCATGTCTGCTAGATTAAGGCGGTGCAGCGACGCAACTTCCTCACGAACCTGTTAAGTGGTGATCAAATAAATGTTTGTTCCCGTGGCGGAGGACTGAATGGCCCATCGTGAGGTGGCTGAAGCGGTCGTCGTACCACATCATGTTATACGAAGACATCGGCACGATGCGAGCTGCCGGTGGACCTACACAAGACGTGAACCTTAAGTCCACAAAGATATTCCACAAATCTAACGTGCATGCTATTTTAAAGGACCCCTGAAAGCGAATGTTTTGTATGCGGCTTTTTTTTACAGCAATTTGTAGCTTTGCGTCTAAGTTAAATTGTAAATGCTCAAACACATCATACAATTATTGCTAGCGCTGTTATACGGGACGACATTGCGTCAGTTTGAAACGCCACGGCAGTGCCCGAGACGTGTGCTCAAGCTTGGTTGACACTGAACGCGCCGTTTTCAAACAGGGGGACCCGCGGGCAGTGAAGAATGAAACAATGTGGAAGCTTTGTGCGCGTCCCCCTCTGAAAAAAAGAAAAGCATTCCTGGCGTAGGCATCTAAAACCATATTGCGAGCAGCTAACAAAAAAAGCAAGAGGGGTGACGAACACGAAAATTTCCTCATGCTTCTCAAGATAGTGGTCGCCATCTACACAGGAGCACAATGAAACCAATAGTTAGCACTCGTTAATGGCCTTTTCTACTTTATCAACACCTTTTCCTGCAAGAAAAAAAGAGGAAAAGCACAGCACAATTTCTCGCAAGCCCCTTTTATTCAACATTTCTTATCCCCAAAGGGTCAACAAGAAAAAAACCCATCCCTTAGGCCGGGCGCTAGTTCAAAAACGAGCGCCAACGCGTCCACAGGAGGGCCGAACAACAGCACTGTTCATCTAGGAAAAAAATTTGCAACCACAGCTCGAGAAATATCGCACACACGTGGCAGAAAAAAAAAGTTAATTCATGCATTTGTCTCAACTTCCGTCACAACTTTTAAACTCTCTCGCTCTCTGTGCCAAAAAAAAAAGCAAAAACAAAATATATATACGTTGCCTTCGTAAAGAGAGGCAAATGTGTCGGGAAAAGAAATGGTGACACACGCATGCACGCACACTTTTCCCCTTCCCTTTGATTTGCAGAACAATCTCTGGCTCATCGCTTCTCCAACCACCTAATAAACGCAGGGGTTCGTTAGTTCCAAAGGGACCGCAACAAACATGCAGACCAAAAAAAAACACAAAGTGAAACAAGATCATCAGATAAATATGCGGCATCCTCTTCAAAGTTTGTTTATAGACACTACAAGCGGCTTGTGAATACACAATCCTTGAAACAGCAAAAAAAGAAAAGGTTCTCTACAGATAGACAAGAGAGAATGCACAGGAAACACAACAGGATTGCCACACAGCCTTCGCAACTCCTAGCATAATAATTCATACTAGATCGAAAGCTCGAGCCCCATCACGAAGGATGGTACAATGCAACTGAACCCGTGTGCCGCGCTTGCAATCCATTACAGCCCGAAATGCGAGAGGCTCTTCTGAACGGGACACGGTATAGTGCCCAACAGTGCTAGCTTATGGGCCTTGGAGTGGGGCCAAGTGAAGTGACTTAGCCTTGGCGAAAGAAAAGATTTTCATGTAGAATAGGAGTGTGAAGTATTAAATCTAATCGCATTATTAAAGGTAACATTTTTACAGGTTTCACTAAATGATGAGGCCCTGACAATCTAATTTAACAATGTTTAATGCATAGCTTTGCTAATACTGTTGACTGCGAATGCAATCTGCATCACTGCTGAAATGTTAGACTGTCTCAAGTTTTGTTAACTAACAAGGTGAGCCAACGTTTTTCTGAGGAGGAGACGCTCTGTGATGAAAGAATTCACCGCAAAATTCTGGACGTTCAATCACTTCAGTGCTCATAGAGTTGCCAACAGAGTAATACAAAACGCACAGCGAAGTGCACATCGTAAGAGGTCCCAATTAAGACAAGGTACGGGACGAATCTAAACCACGTTTCACTAAAACACCTGCACACCAAGGCCTCCAGCAGTTGTCATTCGAAACTGCCGTGACATTGCACAAAAGAACAAGTGCAAGCGGGGAAAAAAAAAATGTCCTAGCTTGACTTCACAGACTATAATTTCAAGCTTATATAGTACTACTGGTTCTTTACCTCCTCCATACTAGATTCCAGAATTGCGCAGCGGTCCGTTAGTTCGGAAAAAAAAAGCTTGGCCGTGAAATGTCTACTGAGAAGCAAGATGCAGGTTAGCGTAATTCAGAGATCTTTTAGAAAGTGTCTTGCACATTCTGAATTTCCACAGTTGTCCCCTCTATCGATCTGAACTAAAATTTAGCAAACTGACACGCCTTCTATCGTATGGCAAAGTGCAAAGTAATTAAAGCACAAACATGTCTCTTATGAAATAACACTACTAGCATACTTTCAAACAAGGTGAAATTGAAAGCATGAAAGGCTGGCATAAATGTAGATATCTCAAGAGTGATTCCGCATAGCCAAGACCAGCACACATCTCAATTAAAAATGAACCATTAACTTGTGTATAAAAGAGTCAAGGAAAAAACAGAACATGCACACGCAAAAAAAGCTGCTATGCTGAGCTCACTCGTGTTCTAAATGAGCCCACATTTTAGCAGGCACTGCGTTAACTGCACTTTCACAAAAGTTCTAAAAAAATACAAGCGGTCGCAGGATCATGTCAACAAGAGTAAACAATCAGTAAAACATAGTTTAGAAAATCCACCTTCAAGAGAGTAACTGCTGAGAAAAAAAATCAACAAGGGCCTTCAAACAGGCTGTTCCAGTCTTTACAGGCCCATTCACAACAGCGACACGCAGAGATCGTGCAGACTGTTGCAGCCACAAAGGGTCGAAAAGCCATTGTTTTGGGTAAGAGGGTTGCAAAGGTACTCGATTGCGAACTGTCGCGAGTGGTCACGTTGGCTGATGAACGAACAATTTCAACTGCTTAATGCCTCGACCACGTCACAGCAGTTGCAAAACTCGTGAGCCAATCAGACACGGAAGAATGACAAATCTGCTAGCAATGCGAGCAGATGTGGAACGCACCAATCACGAGGCGTTTCCACGTGGTGACTGGCCTGCGACGCTTGACACCGTGAACATTCTATGTGTTGCTGTGATAACACATCACACTTGCTGAACATGAACATCGGCAGTCGACAGTTACTCCACGGTCGCCAGTTGCGCATGGCCACACAACTTCTTTAGGTCACTCACAAATGAGCCTTTAGACCTTACTCACTTATTGCATTAAAAAGAAAAAACAACACCTTTAAAACTACTATCTCCAATGGCTCGACGATCAGCAGTGCCACGTTACAAACAAGACTCTCAGAGCTTGAACTAGCTCAGTTGCTCGCCTCAAACAAATAAAGAAAATGCATTTAGGACAGTCACACCTGAATAGCAAGAATGGCGACCCAAGTCCAAACACAGGAGAGTCCGTCAGCGCACGGCGTAAAGTTCATTTTTCACAATAAGAGGCAAGGAGACCAGAGCGCTACGGCACGGCTCAACGCAAGATTAACCGGGAAAATGAAAACAACACAAATCGTGAACTGTGGCAGTTTCGAAGCACGCGCAGGATAGAAAAGTCGGGCTTGGGAAGAGGAGTCCTAGAAAAAAAAAAAAGAAAAAGGTGCTAGCGTGGGTGGCACAGAGAGGAGGAGACAGTCAGTGGTGTTTCAGCTCAGAGGCAATTTTGTAGTTGAGGATCTTGGTCCAGTCGATCTTGGTTCGCGTCAGTGGCAGTTGTCGGCGTAGTGCCTTGAACGTCGTGTCCGACATTGCCTGGTAGTTTTCGGAGATGGCGGTCTGAAAAGTGAAAAAGGAAGGAAAAGATCAACAGCAGAGTTCCGAAATAGCAATATAATGACTCCAAAACTAGGCTAGTGTGAATAATGAATGTGAATTTTAGGTTCGAAGCAAATAGTAATTTTGGGTGAACAATTTTGAATAGCATTCGAATAGTATGTATAACGCATAATATATAGAAATATGTGCATACTTGTCATGCTCTAACTACCTAGCACAATATTTTTTAAGAATTTAAACAACAATTGTGCAAATGCCATTTCTTTTCTGCATCAAGGGAAGCGGAAACAACTTTGAATAGCATTTGACTTTCGGTAGAATGCAAGTTATAGCCAGTAAAGCGTGTTAATTTTAAAAATTTGCTAAACTTAGAGCACGTACATCAATATAACAGGCTTTTAAACTTCAAAAATAAATTGATGTGAGGGTAGTATCCTTATTCAACCTTGAAGCAAGACTTTGCGACAGTGCGGATGTCCCCTGCATATGCGTTTTCACGGCTTATCACTACTTCACTGCAGTGAAACAACCTTTACAGGGCGTCACATGCACCTATTCTTTATTTTGAATAATTCAAAATTTTCAATAGCTTAAACATGATTTGAAGCGAATTCGAATACTAGATAATTTGTTAGAATATTCAAAGCATTCAAATATTCACACAAGCCTAGCTGTAGCACACCTTCTTGATGATAGCATTCGTGCTGCCAAGCTCATGCCAGTGCAGTCAGCACAAAGAAGTGCATCTCGCTTGTCGTACGAGAATCAAAACATTAGTTTGGGTCTTGTAATGAAAGCGTGCGAAGCTTGTGGTAATATTTTCACCCGAACAATGACTAGTGAAGCAATCCCTCGCGGGCAAATGAGCAATGCGGGGAAGAGCACCCGCATGTTAGAACTTTGCAGAGTGCTGCAAAGATTTAGCACATGCTAAACAAATCTCCTTTTCTCGAAGATAATAAACAAGGTGCAAGAAAATGCATTTGTATTGCATACTTTTCGACCCTCAAGGGACATGGTTTGTAATATAAAAATTTACTTGCTGCTTCCTTACTATACTGCACTGTCATTACCTTGGCACTACACTTATATCTAAATGAATCACTGAAATGGACAAGTACTACCTTAAACTGCAACTTTTTGAGATAACCGTATTTTCTCACCAATTCCGTGCCCTGTGATCTCTGTGACCCGCTGTACTTGTATAGGGTAAGTTAAAGCTACGGCAAATCTTTAAAGGGAAACTGAACAAAAAATTGAAAAACCGATGAAATTTTGAAACTCTACTTGGAAGATGTGACTGTTTCAATAAACAGAGTTCATTTCCCATATATTTTTGAAGCGTTGGCTGTATTATTGATGGATTGTCAACAATCGGCGGTTGCGCGCGAGGGCGGGCCGTGACGTCACAAACTCTGAAGCGCATGCATAGTGCACCTCTTCCTTTCCCCTTTCCTTTTCTCCACCTCTCCTTCGTCCCCCTCTCCCCCTTGCACAAAAGCACTGATTTTTTTTTTACCCCAGCCAGGAGCATTCTTCGCTACCGGCAACTGATAGGTGAGCCGAGCCGATCAAGAGACGCGGGCAACAGCTAGTAATGATAACTAGCCCTTTTGGGCGAACGTGACGTTGCCTCTAGTTCACAAACTGCTGCGTGTAGCGGCAGTTTGTGAAAGACCCATTACATTATTTATTCCCTTGTAGTTTCTGCAGGAATGAAGGTTGTGCTTATTGATTTAATCACGCAAAATTTAAATTTGGCTGAAAACCTTCACCACAAAAAAATTTTGTTCAGTATCCCTTCAAGGCAGTTGTTCTCAGTCATGGAAGTTTCTCGGGCCCACCTGTGGACCGGCGCAAGTGATGGGGAGACCCCTTCCAACAAGGGAAAGTAAGGGGTCATAAATTAACACAACATGCAGCGTGAAATAGGTGTTTTTTACTTATAACTGGCAAAGAATGGTCAAACTAAGGTATCACACTAATTCGATCTCAACAACTTGCTGATTAGTTGCACGGCCTGCGGCCACATTCAACCCGTTTCTAGCCGAGTTTCTTTTTAGAGTACGCAGGACCTGGAAAAAGCATGCCATGCATACGCCGCATAAAATCTCAACGAAAGCTTTGAAGCCACCTCATAAAAAGGGGTCAATCTAAGTCAGCTTCACTGCAATGCTAGAGTGTTATGCAGCGAAGCATACCAAATGTTGAAAGGGGCCGCTGTCACAGGGCGTACTGTGGCTTTACAAAACGTATCCCCCCACCTCCGCCCTTGAGCATGGGTTTCGCATACCCCCCAAAATATCTTTGCGAAGCCAAGTTTGAGGACAATTGCTTTGGGATATCAAACTTAAGACGCTGGCGCCGCGTCCACGTTGCAGGGAGCTTCGACGGCGGCGATGGCACATCACTCATAAAAAACTCGCAACAGTTCGATACGCCAATGTGGAAACTCACCTGATACTCGTTTTCTGCATCCTCGACGATCTGCACGAACTCCTTGGCAGCTTGCTGCTCATTCTGCAGGAGAGAGGAGACGAGTGACAAGAAATTTATATTACAAATGAGCAGGCATAACAGCTCAACACTTGGTAAAAGCGTAATGAACATTGGTGGCTTTTGAACTCTGAGAATAGTGGAATATGCATTTTTTTACACTGCCAGACCAAAACTAATGATTCCGTGGCAGACCAAAATCTAGAAAAACCATTGCACTAAAGGCACAGAAACATGACGAGCAACGTAAGGTATACGTAAATGTTAAATCACTAAATAACTTCAGTACGATTTATTTCTGAATGCGCTCTCCCTAAATAAGTTACTTTTGTATTGCAGCATATATCTTGAAAGAAAAAAAAACCATGACTATGAATTTCCATATCTCCGGAATAGAGCCTGAAAAATCTTGTACAGTAGACTTCTATTAAACGAAACTCTCTTAAATTAAATTGCTGCTTAAATGAAACAACTGCCGCTAATATGTTCGGTTTCGTAGATGAATACAGTAAAAACTCATTTAACCGGACCTCGTTAACTCGGAAATTCGGTTAACTCGGACTTGCGGCGCAGTCCCGGAAAACTGTGTATATTTCAATGAGGTCAAATGCTCATTAATTTGGAGGGATTTAGCCGCGCACCAGTTATCTCGGACAACTCCGGAGAGGGCTATCGGGACTCCAGAGTCGCGCGATCTCGGCGGCTTGGAGGCTCAAGCACCACTTGCCGTAACCGACGGCAGAACCGGAGTTTCGGAGAAACTGAAACCGAGCGAACTGCAGCAGAATATGTCGATGATTATAGTGAATGAGGGGGAAGTGGCTAGGTGGCACTAGTCACCACCCAACGGAAGCGCTTGGGCCATCGGCGCATCTAGTGTCTACTAACAGCTGCTCGCTACGCCCATGCTACGCCTACTGGTATACTACTTCGTGTCTTGGTTCTTTGTGTTGCGACTTCACGTGTTGCGGCTGTGTTTGTGCGCGTTGTCGCTGGCGTCGCGCTTCATAGCGACCGTCACAGGAGTTAAGCGGCCACAGCAGCCAGCAAATGATCCTAAAAGAAAGGTTACGATATTGAAAGACGTGATGAGCCGAAGCGACGTCGCCGCACCGTGCAGGAGGCTGCAGAAGCCCTCGCTGTCCTCGAGGAGTTCTGCGTTTGTTCTCGCGACAGTGAACGTGCGCACCACCACCTGATGGGATTAAATAAAATCGTTCTGTCCGAAATTCCGACGGCGAGGCAGGCTAAAATAATGCACTTTTTTCAAGAAATAAAGGTTTGTCTGTGCCGTGTACGTTTTCTTTTTGTTTTCATGGTCTGTTCGATAATTAGGAATTCGGTTAACTCGGACATTTTCTCCGGTCCCATGAGATCCGAGTTAACGAGCTTTTACTGTATTCTACCCCTGTTTAACTCTCAGTAAACCAAACTCCTCTTAAATGAAACATTTTCCTGGTCCCTTCGTGTTTCGTTTAAAAGGAGTCTACTGTACTCCAAAAGGGACTTCATTAACCTCACAAAATCTCACTGCAGCAACGACATTGCATATTTCGCTTTTATATAACATTTCTTTTCACATGACATATTTCGATCAGTTTATCTTCTTTTTTTTTCGCTAGTGATTGCAGTTATGCCACTGCCACCCATTCCTATTTGACTATCTCCTGTAGCCAGCAAAAACATTAAAAGTACCCTTTTTCCCTGATGCTTAACACGTGCCGTGTGAAGAAGCCAGCAATAAAAAGATCTAAAAAAATAAATGATGAAAAAGAGGCCTACCGTGATGTTGAGGGTGGCTTTGATCTCCTTGGAGCTTACTAGCTGGACGTTGCCATCTTCGTAGTAATGGACCTGCGAAAAGCCCCAATAAAAAAGTGCTTTACCACTCTCCACTTATGCCATCAGTAGCTTCAAAACTGGCCTATACACCGAAGCAATGGATGCTCTTTTGCCAGTGCTTAAAACACAGCCAAACAGCTAGCACCCCATTTTGTGAGTGGTGCCACAGCACCAACCTGTCAATCACAGACTTCTCAGTGCATGTGCCTAACGATCAGTAATAAATGCAAAGCATAATGAATATTTTTAGAGGTAAAGACCACCGAAGGATATAAATAGGATAATTTTAATTAAGTAAACTTGGCAACAAGTCTTTACAATGTAAGTGTGTTACTCTGTCTTCTCATCTTTCAGGAATGACAAAAAAGAAAGAGATAAAAAAAAACAGCGCCAAAAGACGGTTTCTAAAGCGAAGAGAAGAAGCGCATATGACAAGCAGCTAGACTTTTGCACTACCAAGAAGTGGAACAGCAATTCAATTTACGCTACAAAATATGTGACCATAGAAATTCCTTGATGATTTGATTGATATGTTGGGTTTAACGACCCAAAAACCACCATATGATTATGAGAGACGCCGCAGTGGAGGGCTCCGGAAATTTCGACCGCCTGGGGTTCTTTAACGTGCACCCAAATCTGAGCTAACGGGCCTACAACATTTCCGCCTCCATCGGAAATGCAGCCGCCGCAGCCGGCATTTGATCCCGCGACCTGTGGGTCAGCAGACGAGTACCTTAGCCACTAGACCACCGTGGCGGGGCAGGCCAGGCTCGAGCTACATTGTTTTTTTTTTGCTCGGTGCGCCATGTCAGGTGCAAAGCCCCAATTAACCCCAAAATATAGAGGTTGTGCCAGAACTATTTTCCACGACGTAGTGTCATCTCCACAACCACCCCCACTTCTTGGTTCTCTTTTTCTTTAGCCAATTTGAATGCAAAGAGAGGATCCCACAAGACGAGCTCTGCAATTATCTATATTTGGCATAATCTTCTCTCCACATCTGAGGCAATAAACTGCTGGAAAATTAAGCAGTCTAAATATTCTAAGCGCACTATGCTTGAGAAAAAATTATTAGACACTGCAGCTATATAAGTGCGAGCAGCGAACGGACCTTCAATTGGGCGAGATGTGTGATGCAGGAGCACCGCACTTTACTGAAACCCGAATCAGTGGACAGCCTATTGTTACACAACTTGTAATCATTGCATACAGCGACTGTCGTGTGTCCTTTGTTGATGTCAACTCTGATACGTAGCATAAAATACCACATTATCAGAAAACGACATCTCGTCTACGCAGCAAACCTGTATAATGTTGGGGTGGACCGGATCAGACGCGCACTTTTGTTTTTGTGCATTGGGCCGAGCTGCGCATGCTCGCATCCCTCTAGCGCCAAGCTCGGAAGGGCCGAGCTCGGGTGGGCCGAGCTCAGGCTGAAAAATTCGGCCTGTGCACAGCTCTGTAACAAATTCAGAACTGCCACATATTTGTAACACTGCATCTATGACAAAGCTATTTTTTACTTCGTTGTAGCTGATAATTCGTTATATTGAAGTTTGAGTGCACTTTGACTTTTAATGAACACAACTTGGAGCTACACTTGTCCTAAATAACTCTTTCACATAACATCGAACCTAACTGGACATTAAATTGAAAAAGGGCCTTACCTGAACTCTTACGAGCCCTTTCACATCCGCTGTGGCGGCACCCGAGGGAAAGTTTACTGTCCAGACGCTTCTCCAACGACCATTCCTGGTGACCAAGGAACAAGCATGCAATGTTGGGCAAGTTTTTAGGATTCTCCTCTTTTGCAATGAAAGCTTGCTGAAGCAGTGTTGCTAAAACAGACACCAAAGTGAGCATGCATGTAATCGGCATTCATTTAGTACAGTCATGTGTTTAGTCATGTGTTCGCACTCGAATTAACTTTTAGAAATGGGGTCATAAAGCCCACGCTAATTTTGAAACACGTGCCCTTACACATTTTGAGCACATTTACCATTATAATTTCCTTCAATTTCTTTATTATCACTCCCCCTCTGGTCACGTGACCTGCATGACGCTTACGTTGAATCGGCGTTTGTAGTATGCAGGGTACCACGTTCTCACTTTCTGATCGCCCCCTATTTCAACATAGCCACAGTGGTCTCTTATACCTCGGTATCTTTTACGTCAGTGTCTCTTATAAAGTGGTTCAACAATACTACTACTAGTAATACCCATATGACAACGACGGGATAGTGTAGAGCAACACAGCTTCTCTGCAAAAAAAATTACACCGTCTCTCACTAAAAAGGATCATGAGGCAGTGCAAAGCGGCACAGGGCGTGCACACCGTGGCTTTTGTAGAAACGCACAAGCACGTGCCGGTGCGTTTTGACTAGGATGCACTGGCCCACCCCGCATCAGCAGAATCACGTTCTCCGACGCCATCACATGACTGCTGAGAGAGTGCAAGGGGGTGAGGCCGCTGTGTCGTACCCAGCCCCTTACACAGGCCAGAACGCGCTAGTGCGTTCTGGCAGTGCTTGGAGCACATGTTGCGCATGCGCAGTAAGGGTGGGCATGGCACACCGGATCGAACACCGCGATAAGCTGCTTCGCATCTAAAAGAACAGTAGCCCCATAAAAGGCAAAAACACTGCCAGGCCTGAGCAGAATGCACAGCACAGCACAGAGGAGGAAGAACAGCCTTTCTAGAGTTGTTTTGAACACTCTTGAGGCAACCGCTACAAACACACTCGCATGCTACCCGATACGCCGTAAATCATTATTTTTGTGCTGTGGGGAAGTGTACACTATGCCACCATTTGTCATTCATCGATGTGTGGTACCCGCTACTCACTCGTAAGAAGTCATGTGCACTTTGTTGATGCTGTGGCTAATAACAATGAAGAATTATATTTGAAGCTTTCGTGATGGGTTGCAGCATTCAACAACAAACTCTTTATGCAATCTGCATTGTATGATGCCTGGTTGTTACTTTACTGTTCTAAAACACTTCATTATGCATGTTAATGAGATTCCTTACCCAACATAAGGCCAACGTATGGTCGGTTAGCAACAGTTTTAAGGGCCCGCAGAGCTCAGTGGTAGAGTACAGAGCTGTCTCGCAGAAGGCTCGGATTTGAATCGCAATCTGTCCTCGGTATTCTTCATTTAGTTTTATTTCGTGTGATAGTGGTTATGGATACCAGAGGTGGACAGCTGCAGCGCCGTAAACTGCCTTTGTTGCGACCTCGTAACATCTTTGCTGTAAAACTGAGCACACACACACGCCGAAGGAGCGACCCACCAGTAGTTCTGCGCCTGGAACTGGTGGTCCTCGAGGCAGGCTACTAGCGCCAGCTCCTGGGGGCTGGAACTGCGGTCGAAGACAGCGCACGTGCCGTGCCGGTAGTGCTCGCGTGCGTACTGCGTCCACGCCTCCTCCAGTGCGGCCCGCCAGCTCTCGCCATGTCCCTCGGGCAGCCCCACACTGCCGTCCCCGCTGGATCCCGGCGGATGGCTCTGGTAGTCCGTCGCCTCTTTGCGGAGGTGGTCGTACCGGAAGGACTGCCGCGTGCGCGGGTCATAGAACCGACCCTCGCCGAGGTCATTGTAGTGGGTGATGAGCGCCTGAAAATGTGTGTGGATGACAATTGAGGGGGAGAAGGTAACTAAATTTCAAATGCACTGAACCTCCTTATAACAAAGTTGCATCTTACATGAAAATGGGTTTGTTATACATATGAAAGTTCGTTATAAAGATATATTGCTAGCACTGTAGCTCTTGCGAGGCTATTTTCATTACTTCGTTATATCCAATATTTCACTATATCTGAGTTTGTTATATCGAGGTCTGACCCAAACCTTATTATAACAATGTTACATCTTACACAACAATAACTTTGTTATATCTGAAAATTCGTCATAAAGACCTATGCTTAACACCATAATTATCGCAAGATTATTTTTCATTTACTTCGTTATAACCGATATTTCTTTATATTTGGGTTCGTTATATCGAGGTTCGAGTGCACTGTCACAGGAATGTACAGGGTGCCAAAAAATTAAAATGGTGATGCGGCAGGCCGTAGAACGCTACAGTAATTCTGACCATCTGGTGTTGTTTTGCATGCCCCGACATCGCACAGTACTTGGGTGTCTAGCATTTGGTCAACATCGAAACGTAATCACATAACTAAAATTAAACATGGGACCTTGGGTCAGTAGCTGAGTATTGAAACCAGTGTACCACTGAGGCGGACTGAATACTACCATCAAACTGGCTAGAATATAATAATTGTTCGGGTTTAACATCCCAAAACCACCATATGATTATCATGAGAGACGCCATAGTATTAGGCTCGAGAAATTTCGACCAACAGAGGTTAAATTGAACCTAAATCTAAGTACAGAGGCCTTCAAATATTTCCGCCTCAATAAAAAAAAAAAAAAAAAAAAAACACCGACTACTAGACGCTTGGCTAGATAACTGACCAGAGCATGTGTTTGATCCATTTTTATATGTGATGAGTGCATATTTCTCGTTTATGAACTGCTTCCTCACTATCAAGGCTGACTGATTAGACCATCAGTACATATTAAGACTAGTAGAAGCCTATTTGATAAGGTTTTCTTTAATTGGACATCCCATATTAGGAAATAGGAATATTTTTCAAAGAGCTTACGAGTCTTCCAAAATATCAGCAGCACTGAAATAAGCATGAGAGTCGTGCCAAATTACGATAGCTTTCAGTACTGCAGACACACTGTATCAACAACATGGCAGCGTCTATTAAAGGAGCCCTGCAACACTTTTTGAGCATGGTCAGAAAATGCTGTGGATCAGTAGAAGAGGCTCCTGAAAACACGCGAGCCAAATGTTATAGCGCAGCACACGGCCTGCAATTCACAATAAATTATCAAAGTCAGCTAAAAATTGCTTTCTCTTCTCTCAAGAAATCACAGAATAAGCCTAAAAATCACTCGTAGTAAAACCACCTATAAGCCACTGGCTTATTCGAACATGGCGCGTTTGGTTGTTACAGAGATCGCTGTGAGAGGCCGTCACTTGTCCACGCCTGCGCGCACGATAGCACTGAAAAAGCCTTGTATTTGAAGAAAAAAAAGAAAGGTGCTCAAGGTCTTGAGGCATACGTGACGTTTTTTTGTTGGCCCCTCCCATCTCTCCCTGCTTAGCTTCCAGCGCTTTCGTCTGGACGAGAGAAGAGAAAATGCGACTGCAGCGTGTGACAAATCTTTGTAACTCCGCTTGTACTGGACGGATTTCTAAAACTCTTGCGGCGCTGAATTTCCAGTGAATTAATTCCATGGTTACTTAAAAAAGTGTTTTAGGGCCACTTTAATGTATGAGGGCTTGCTCTAAGAGCCAGACGTGTGTAACACTCTCTAACAATCTTTCATACTCCTTTAAATGTTCAGCACACCAATCCAGCTAAAGGGAGAATACCACGATGTGAGCGTCATTCTACTGGCCATAATTACAGCTATTCACAATACTTACCACCCAATATAAAAGCACTCATTGTGTGATTTGCTCCTGACAATGTGGTCCACAATATAGAGATTAACACAGTTTTAGCAAGAGCGAGAAACTGTGTTGTCTGGCCATTTTCAAGCTACTATTTGTGAAGTTTATGAAATACAATATGGCTTTTACTGCCAAGCAGAACAATCGTACATCTCGTCACCAAGCTTTTTTTTTTTTTCTTCACAATATTCAAATTTAGATATAAAGTAGCAGTATAAATTTAGAATGTGCTTTGTTAACTTACAAGATTTTAGCTGCTGTAGAATGTAGTAAATGGCATTGATTCCAGTATTGTCGATACCAAAAAGCACTGTTTTTCCATTATCATTTACAATGACAACGTCGAGCGACAATTTTCTTTTCCTCAACCAACATGAAGCGTAAGAACACTCACCTGGTGTTCAGAACCTTCAATTTCTACTGGTGTCAGCTGATCCTTATTGTACTGTGCGAATGCACTGAAAGGAAGAGAACGAAATGAGCAGCTCATTTCACAACCAGTCTTTGTACTTTGTCTGACAGGACACAGGCACTGACATTTGGTGACATAGCTTAAATGTGGAGGGTCACGTTTTATCTGCACACCTTCACCAATAATCCTGTCTGATCATCTTATACCCTTTGTCAGACATGCAGCTTGCATGCACTTTAAGGAAGCGCGCTTTGTCACCAGTGTCCTTCCCAGGCTGTGACACAGGAATGCTTAATGACACACTGCAAAGCGAACCTACCGGTGAGCATGTTCGCCGAACTCACTTTGCTGCGATGAAGTGCCTAGCCTCAATGCAGTGACCCGAAGATAAATGCATTACTACCCGAAGCAGAATTCATGGAGTTCTAAAACTATAATTTCTGCTATTAGGAATATTTTTACACATTAAAACATACTTTCGCAAAAAAAAACTATCACTCTGAAGCAGCTTATAGCCACGACCGCCATGGCCGATCCATAGACCACCATGTTGTGCCGTGGCCGTTAAAATGATTATTTAATGGCTGCTTACAGGTGTAACACATTAATACTTATTAAGATACACTGCCTGAAATTGCAAATAAATACTGTTGCATTGCTTAAGTAGCCATCGCCATTACCATCATTTCCAAAGTAAACATCATTTTCCTGCGTAGCGGCACGCCAATGAAGTGACATTCTGAGGGCATAACCTCACTCCCTTAAAATGACACTAAGTGTGCCAGTGTCACCGCCGTACTATGCCCCCCTTCCAAAGCATTTTATTTCTTAGATTTATTTTACATGTGCCGAGATTCCTTCAGTTTTCGCATTCCCTCCTCAATGTATTTCTTGCATTTAAAACTTGTTGATGATATTCTAAAAAATATCACATTCATTTACGTTCATGTTAATGCAAGTTCCCTCTCATTCAATTTGTGTTTCATTTTACATTCGTAACTTCCTGCTAATATTGTATAATACTCCATGTTTCATTCAGTAAATTTTTTTTTGCAGAATATCTCACCCACTTCCCTCTGCAATGCATTGATAATTGAAGCTATGCAAAATAATGTAAACGAACATAAATATGCATGTTCTGCACCCAACTGCCCATTTTGGTGAACTCTCAGAGGCAAAGTATTTGAAGTAAAAAAAAATACACATGCAATATTTCACATCTACAAAGACCGTGTTGAAACTGAATGTATTTTCTGCACAAATTTGGGCTCAAAACACCATCATGACTTATAGCTAATGTCCAACACAAACAGCACTTCCAACTGTGAAAAGCGCAAAGATGAGACTGAGATTACCAAAATAAAAACATGGAGAGATACAGCCAGAAACCAGAGTTTCCGGGACGTCGACTCACCTGCAAATGCGACGTTCTGCTCTGTTAGTGCACGATGAACCTAGTGTAGGTTGTAACTGTATAGGTTGTAAAAACTGCTAGAGCCTGAAACATTTAATTTGAGTCTATATTCCTTAACGAAGCTAGAATAGAGTACTCCTGACAATTTTGCACCCCACAGTCTTTTCCCCACGACGCACACATGGCAATGCCTATGTCTTGTGTAGGGTTAATCTTTGTCCCATTTTCATGTTGTTTGCAGCAAGCAGCACGTCTCCGGTATGACGAGCGAACCACGTTAACAAACCACACCAAAGTTTAAACACCTCCCTCACCTGGACGCTTTTTCTTTGAGCAAGGTGTCATTGTTCAGCAGCAGGCGGACGTCGTTGAACACCTCGTTGAATTCCCCGGGCGGTGCTAATTGGATGAAATCCGACACTATGCGAACCTGCGAAGAAGTATTCAACATTTCCTTTGTCAATGGAGCAGCGATGAACTGTGGCCTTTAGATGGGGTTCCTCATACACTACTTGGGATTACGTTTCTAAGACTTCATAAGTGATTGAGTGGAGTGAACGTGTGTGTGTCTGTGTGTGCGAATGGATTTTGCCAAAACTTCAGTGTACAAACTCTTTTCCCATTTCGGATGAGCACAGCTCGTTCTAGCTGAACTTTTACCAAATCGTTTTGGACGAGTGCAGTATGTCTGATTGATAGAAAAGTTCTTCGTTGTTGTCGAAATAATGAAACTATTTTGAGATTGTTGAAAATTTCCAACAGCATTTTTTGTCCCAGTTGTGTTTTTATTGTTAATTATTTCCAATTAGCCAGCCTTTCTTCCACGAGTTATTAGCAATTAGCTTCCTCAAGCTTAACTTTGTATGTGCTTCAATTTTCTTGCTTCAACAGCAATAACTTTTTTAGAGCAGAAGTATTCAATGTGTACTGGAAGGTAATAACTATTTTAAGAAGAAAACTTCCCAAAATATCAATGAAAACTTCCCAAAATATTATTATAGCTCAAAAGTGAATTGCTTTATTGATAACCATTCAATGATACTTTAGCTACATGAATGCATGCAGTGAAGACCCACAAATACAGGCTATCAAGAAACTGATCCATAATATAATTGTCCTAGCTGTCCTAACACTATTTTGACATTTTGAAGCAATGTTAGGACAGCTATAGTTTATAGGAAATTTTACCAGAAAAGGAAAACTAAACTAAAGCTTCAAATACCAAAAGCTGCTTGCTGTTCGTTTACAAAGGGCTACCAGTGAAAGCTAATAGTGCAAGGTTATCGTTTCACACACTTGCCAGCTGCACGTAGCTGCAAGCTGCAAACATACTATTGCACACCGTACAGCTGCATATAGTCAGTGGGGCATTTCGAGCAGCAGCTCAGCCATATACGGCATTATAAGAGACGATAAACACAGTAGGAACAGCTGTTGGTAATATTTGACAGGATGAATCATAACCAGCTGGCACTATTTATAAATAGTGCCTGCTGACAGACACAAGTGTCTCGGTCTACGCCTCAGTAACACGCTTTGTACAAAATAAAGGCGGAAAAAGTTCTGTTTGAAGGACATGCACGTGCTACTCTTCACAGGAAAGCAAAACCCGAATTTAGCAAGCGCAAACTTCTAGAGTATATTTTTTTCTTTGAAAGAAATGTCGAAACAGGTGATAGTGAGAAGGAAAACAATTTCAAAGCAGCAGCACTTATAAAATAGAAAAACGAGTGAAGACATAATAGAAAGACTAGTAAAACGCAAGAACGAGCTACAAAGCGTGCTCAGAGAAAATAGTCAGCAACGGAGCGAATGTGCCCAATTAACCACAATTTGCATTGCCTTTCTCTGCAAACAATTAGGTACAGTGTTTCCTAAAACATCGTAGTAACGGAACTCTGTAAACACGCATGCACATTCAGACACAAAACTGAATGCATAAAGTTTCTTAAAATATTTACTACAAGTAACCTAGGCACTGCAGTCGTTCAGATTGCACAGTACAAGGATTTGCCCAATCTTTGTGCCTCTGGCTTCAAACACACTTGTGACTGTTCACTGTTGTGCTTTCACATTTGGTTCAGAAAAAAGAATTGTCGTGAACTTTGTGGGCCAATTTGAATTGGTGAGCCTAAAGAAGTGAAGCTGGTGAAGTGGAACTGCTGAACGTTTGCTCAACTTCTTTATGGGCCAAATGAAGTCAGACGAAGTCGAAAGAATGAAGCTTAGACAAATCCGTTAATCTGGTTGTTACACAATGCGTTGCAGCCTCAATGAACACTAGCGCCAGATTTCCCTCTAGGAAAGTATTATGAGGAAACTCCAAGGCTAAACGAAAGTTTGAAATTTTTTTGCACCTATGTTAACGGCTTAGTGACTTGGCATCAGAGGTAAGGCCAATCAATCTCTCAGCATAAAGTATCATGCAACATTCACTACAAGGAACTGTGGCACTGCGATCATTCAGCCGAGGGGCAGCACATACATTTGCTTAGCCTTTGGGCTTGTGGCTTTGTTAAGTGTTGCGTTTTGGCTCTTGATTCGGATAAAGCACCAGTTAGTTTAAAACCTCGCGAGCCGATCTGAACTGGTCAGTCCAACAGTGAAGTGAGACGGACGAACTTAGTTTGGAGATGGAGCGGCCACAGACATCTACGGAACCGAGAGAACGAAGCTTCGGCAAGTCCACGTGCTACCCATCCATTTCCATGCCGGCTGAAGAACCCTGCGTCGCACATCTCATACAGACACCTAGTGCCAGATTTCCCAACTATTTCGAAACTATAAATATAGGGACATGGTACACATCAGCTCTCGCGCGACACCTAGCGTTCGACGACGACACTATCCGGTCGTGCCAAGCGACGCCCCCCCTACCAAGACGTCTCGTTCCTCGAGCCCGTTTTCGCACAGCCCCTGGCTCGCGTATTTTTATCTTGGGTAGCCGGGAAGTTTAGAGAGTATCGCGCAACTTCCCGTAGAACGGCGGCACGGTACGCGAAGATAACGCCGTCGGGATCGCGGGGGCTCGGCGCGCGCGTAAAACGGGACAAAACAAGCACGAAAAAGCTCGCGAAGCCGCTGACAACAGCGACGGGAGTGAGAGGCGATAACAGGAACAAATAAACGACGCACGCCAACGACGCGGCGTCGGAATGCAGGCGTCGTCGACTCTTCGTTCGCCCAGCGAGCCGGATAGAGAAGCACCTCGAGCGTAGTACGTTCGTTAGCAGGATACGGTCACGCTTTAGCGAACGCAAAGAATGGGTCCCCGTCAGAGGCAATAACAAGCGCGGTCCGCGGAGGTCGCGCCGCGGAGAATCGAAAACGAACAAAACACCAAGAGTGAAAAGGCGAGCGAGGCTGGAGGAACGTGGGAATGACGCGTCGTCGCTCCTACACCGCTACACAACGACGCCGCTTCGCAGTCCACAGCCGTCACACACACCCAAGGTGTCGCACGGACGCGCCACTGCAGCAGACGACAAAGGGAGAAAAAGGATGACTGCGCGATTTCGATCACGCTCGAGTTTTGTTTGTTTCTGATCGCGATTGGCTTAACAAGATGAGCGAGGATCGCAATAGAGATTGCACCGAGTGGCATCCATACTTCTAGATGTCTCGCGGCACATAATAATTATTGGCGTTCAACGTCCCAAAAGCCCGATATGATCGTGTGGAAAATGAAGAGGGGCTTCAGAAATTTCGACCACCTGGGTTTCTTTAACGTACACTCAAAAACAAATACACTGGCCTCAAGAATTTTAGCCACCGTTGAAAATCGCGGTGCGACCGGGAGACCAACTTCTTTCGCGAGAACTACAAGCACACATACATTTTTCGCGTTTCTCTTCCTACATAAACGAGGCAGTGGCGAACGGTAATCGAACCCAGCCCTCCTGCTTCGCAGCACGAAAAATCCGTAGCAGCTCAAGTCAGCGCGCTCGCCCGTTCCGATCGTTTTGCGGCAAGCAGGTCGATTTCACGAGTACGTAAACTGGAAACCACCGATCTATAGCACGTTTCACTTAACCAACTGGGCGACAAGATCGACAGCGTGCCATATCGGATATCGCATTTCCGATAGCATTCTCGGCGCGTTTTTATCAGGAAAGCAGTTATTCCGCCAGGCCGTCATCGCATGTACGATGATTCAGTTGGCGCTGCGGTGATTCAGCCAAGTGGGGGAGGCATACATTTCGTTGGGAAGCCCCACAGAAAAAAATAAGCGGAAATGAAAGAAAAGAACGGAGTTCGTGGACGAGAGAAATGGGTTCAAAGACGCCTGTTTTTTAAAGAGGCCCGTCTCGGTTCGTGACTATGTATGGAGGGGCGTGCAAGAGCAGACCGTCATTTCTGTCACGACCAACAAACTTCCTGTCAGAAAAAAGAAAACTGCCGACGTGCAGCGCGACGTGAGCATGCAAATCGCCGCTGTTTACAGAGAAAGATGATTGCGAACAGAAGTTGAAATAGGAAGCGAACGACAGCATACCTTCTTGGGCAAAGTCAATGTTTTCTAAACATACTGTAGTAGCGCAAAAGTTCGCTGAAGTAGGGGAACCGAGGAAGGGTGGAATGTAGAGCTTGTATTTATTTCCTCTTGTTTCCTTTACAGCTTTGAGCTACTACAGTACGTACGGGAAGTGAAAGCACGGCAAACCGGGATGGTCATTAGCGCCAGTCGCATTGCCCATATTGCTTTGACGTACACAGCAAAAAAAGCGTGTCGTTTGTAGGCGCAGGACGACAACATCAGTTCACGCACCACACACAACATAAAACGGCCGAACAAAATGACGTTTAACCGGGCGTCAACTCGCACCGAAAGAGTGCCGCACGGGTTACCAACAACTAAACTGACACATCTAAAACGTTTGCTAACGCATGCATGAATTCCTGCGTTACGGCTGACAAGTGTTTCCGACCGATACAAGATCCTCGAGTCGTAGCAACGATACCCGGGCTCCGTCGAATACAGGTCGGCGTTTTTAATCGCACGCGGGATCTACCGGATCGAGTCCGTGCGAGGTCGCGGGGTCGCTCAAAACGAGCGATGTAGCTGGTTACGCTGACCCGTCTCACGAGGAGCAAGCACACCGATGGCACATTCATTCACGCACCGAACCCGCGGGAAGAGCGCAAGCTACACTACACGCTTCTGTTTTAAAGATATCAGCGGAAGCACCTTTCTCAAGTCTGTAATGATCGAAGCTAACAACGGAGATTATTCGCGGTACAATTGGCAACGATTCGCGGTCAAGTCGTTGACGAGCACGTCGCTATGACAATGCTCGTGACACAGTAAAAGCACGGCGACTTGTCGGCATTCAGCGACAAGCGCTCCAGCAACGCACGCCACAAAGCTCTCGAGTGCGATAACGCTTCGTCGCGGCGGACTTTGAAACGGCGGCAGGAAGCGACCGCGAACGACACGTTCGCAGCGCTAGCAAAAAACACCCACCGAGCATCGTTCCTAAACCGGTCCACCGATGGCATCGCCGATCGCTAAACAAAAAAAGGCGCTCGTTTATTCCGATGAACAACATTGACGGCAGCAGCCCTGGGCACTCTCACGAACTACAAGTTCACGACGCAGGAGGCACACCCTTCGCTAAAACCGAGATCGAGCAAAGCTTCGTGTTGTTTGAAAACGAAGCACCTACCGAGCGACTCGCACCGAGGTGGGATCGGCCCCGCTAAGTTTTTGCTGTTTTTTTTTTAAGCCTAACCCTTCGAAGCTACGACGAAACTTGGCCCGGAGAGCCGTACGGGACTGGGATAGACGCGAAACGAAGCGCCTCGTACGGTTCTTGAACAACGAACGAGCGGGACGGAAAGACATTGGCAACAATCACCGCAGTCGCCACTCGATAACCGATATCGCCGGTGATGGTAGCTTCCGAGTTGTCGGTCCAGCGCTGTCAAAAAGTTTGTCACGCGCCGTTGCAACTCTGACCGACCACGACTGCGGGTCGCGCTTGATGCTCGAAGCGTGGTTGACAAATTCACTCGCACAGGAAACGTCGAAGGGGCGTAAAAAAGTTGCTGGAAATACCTTTTCTTGGTCGGATATCGGCTCATCGTAGTCGGACGCCATCTTTACACGCCTGCGACCAAGGAATTATGGGATCGCACAACATCCTGCGCGCTTCGCCACAGGGGCGCTGCAAATCAGTCGTAAAAAATGTTGCAAATTGTGGTTTTTGTTCGATAGTACTGTCTTTGATGGACAACAAAATTGATGGTAATATATGACTGCTAGACAAAAAAGGCGTCAATTTTACGGTTATTTTTATTTCAAAGGTTTTTTTAGCTTCAAGTAAATGTGGCTAAAATAAACTAAATGTGTAAGTGATCAACTAAATGTGTAACTTATTTATAATAAAACAAAACTCAGCATGCATAGCTGTGCCGTTTACAATAAACTAGGCAATAATGACTGCACCTGCGCGGTACCGCATCTAAAAGGCAAGAAGCGTCATAGCCACCAAATTCAAACATACTTATTGCCTAGCCTCTGAAATAACTAACTCAATAAAGTCTCGAAGGCCATGTAATGCGTCCCAGCAAACCTTGTAAATTATACAGCAAACTTATCTGTGCATTTTTCAATTTTTATTGAACAACCACGTGATGCGCCGACTGAAATGCACAAAAAATTTTCATTTTTTATTTTTTTTTTATTTTCAAGCCAAAATCAAAGGTGTTGTTTTGCGTCAAGGCGAGTACACGTACTGAAAATTGCGAATAACGCTATTTTCTGATTACAATCCTTTTAAAAACACACTTGCGTGCCATTACCTTGTAGAGTTAAAGACAAAGACTGACATATGTTGAAGCCATGGCTTCCAAGATTAAGCTACCTCTGAGATAGAGTACTATAAAGAAGACATTGAGATTTGCAATGTGCGCAGTTCTATAATGCAACAAGGAGTGGCGCCACAAAAGCTTCGTTCGTTGAACTTGCAAGTGGCGCGTTGTTTGAACACACCTACAGGGTTTACTGTACCGTGCGACTGTGTCTCTAAAAAATGTGGTGGTAGCAGCAATCTTTCTTAATTCGCAGCATGCATACTTGCAGAAAAGCCAACATCGTGGCCAGGTTCCAGTCACCACGCCGGCAGTTGATTGAGATGCGCTCCATGTGGAGCCAGCTGGTTGGTGTATTTCGTTTTGCATGCGAGCCTTAACCTTCCCATTTCCTTATTCAGTCTAAAAAGCGAACCACGCTCTCGAACGCACTAGTATTCTTTTTTATTCTGCTCCGCAGCCACGATTGTCACAATTCACCTGGAACCTTGGTACAAATGTATTCGGGGTGGAGGAGTTGCACACCTGGTGTCATTTGACCCCAATGATCTTCCAAGACTGGCGGTGACCTTACACCACTTTTATTTTTTTTCAACCCCAATTTATACGGTACCCCATTCTATTCTGCAAGACACAACATTATTTGAAACAGACAAGAAACCAAGGAAAGTATAGGGAATGTCGTTTTGCAGTAGTTACAATGTACGTGCATACACGTGAAGAAAAGTGGATGAAAAGATAACTTGCCGCGGGCAGGGAGTGAAACTGCGGCTTTTGAATAATGCGTCCGATGCTCTAAAACCTAAAACATGAGCCACAGTGGCAGTCATTCCCCGTGTCCACATTAAGCCCCCCACCCCCCCCCCCCTAAATTTTGTATTTTGCTTTCGTATATGTGCACGCACACATTCAAACGCACGTACTTGCATATAGTTGACCATCCCCCCTCCTCCCCTGAAAACTCTTTCTGGCCACGCCCCTGCTTAACTTGGAAGAGTTAGCCAGCGCCCCTAGTGGTCATGAATGCGAGTGTGGCCGTAAGATTAAAATGCTCGTTGTACGACCCCCCCCCCCCCCAAAAAAAGGGGGGGGGGGCAGGGGTATGACCGTGCGCTGTTGCTCAGTTGTTAGAGCATCGCGAGTGTTATTCGAAGGTCGCAGCTTCACTCCCTGCCCGCGGGAAGTAATCTTTTCGTCCACCTTACTTTCGTCGCATTGACGTCGTAATTACTACAATTAACCTGACCATATCTGGTTTTTTTTTCTATTTAATGGTGTGTCTAGAAATGAAAAGCGAGCCCTTAAAATTGCCCTCCCTTCTTTCCTACAATCTGTCAGATACCTTAGCCCGATCCCCCCCCCCCCTTTTTTTTTATTCTAATCAATCTTTAGAAAAGTTGCATAATATAAGTGGAATGCGTAAGCTACGTCACCAACGCAAGAGTGGGATGTAGGGTGCATGCTGAATGAAAATGCCGCCATTAATTGTACGGGCCATATCGTCTATATGAATGCATACACAAACAAATCGCACTGGTTTCGTTTGAATTTTTCGCTGTGCCCTCGTGGAAGCCTGCATTCTTAGCGTAGACACTCTAGTGCCTACGACAATAAACAAAGTAATAAATATCCGGCAAAAATACTGTCGCTTGGCACTTCTTAAAAAAAAAAAAGCACTCTTCAAAACGTTGTTGCTTAAGCTTAACGCCATGACCGTTGTGCCGACATGAGTCCAGCACAGATTGGATGTGGAGCTTCTAGGGTACGACAACAGAATTATTTGAGTGTCCGTTCTAGCCGAGTGCAGGTGATGACGTCATCACTGTGTGCAGACGTTGAGGCACCGTCAGTGGTGACGCCTACACTGTCTGGCTCTTGTCGTCACCAGGTGTCGCTTGTTTCTTTTTGTGCGTAGACTTGGTGCCTGCGTGTGAATTAACGGTTACGCGATAAGATCACCATAGTTCGACTCAGAGTATTGAGCCAGGCACAAAAATATTCGCATCACACAGAAAGATGCGCTCTCAAAAACGTTGTTAGATTCGAACATATTTATTGAAAAATAATGCGACGCTGAGATAACACTTTCTACACTTTCGGGGAAGTCTTAGAAGTTTCTTAGTAATGAAATACTAGGGGCGAAGCTCCTCAGGGTGTGAGCTTGTCCGCTGTTGTCCGTCGTAGCCACCGCCAGTACTCGGAGTGCTTACTAGATGGCACCACGGTGCTCGCTCCCATCCCCAACTCGTTCACGCGGCAGCAATTTGAGAGCGGCGGGCACGAGTTCATGAACGAATCGCTCAACCAAGACCTTCATGCGGGGAGTATACCCAACACGGTGCAATACTGGCAAGAACGCCGCAAAGAACTCTGCCATGATTCGCCAGCTGGTTAAGCCTCACGCGCTCCTCACGCTTTCTGCGTCAGAAGTACACCGGGACAGGCTCCTCGAAACTCTGGAACGGCTGCGAGTGGAATTCACGGTTTACCGATGTACAGTGTCAATTTTTATGAAAGGGAACACGTTGCCTGTGAACTCCGGCGGCTGCTGGCAGCACGTTCAAGCGGGATCGAGAGCTACCACAGTATCTTTTCGTGTCATCTGGCGGCGAGGAAAACAACCATTCGTTGCTGATACAGAACCAGCGGCAAGACTGCGACCTTTTCTCCTTGAACGTACCATAGTAACCTGCGCTTCGCCGATGACATTGCATTGCTGAGTAACTCAGGGGACGAATTGCAACTCATGATTACGGAGTTAGACAAGGAGAGCAGAAAGGTGGGTCTTAAAATTAATCTGCAGAAAACGAAAGTTATGTACAACAACCTCGGAAAAGAGGAGCGCTTCGAGATAGGTAATAGTGCACTTCAAGTTGTAAAAGACTATGTCTACTTAGGGCAGGTCATAACCGCAGAGCCGAACCACGAGATTGAAGTAACTAGAAGAATAAGAATGGGGTGGAGCACATTCGGCAAGCACTCTCAAATTATGACAGGTAGATTGCCACTATCCCTCAAGAGGAAGGTATATAACAGCTCTATCTTACCGGTACTTAGCTACGGAGCAGAAACCTGGAGACTTACAAAGAAGGTTCAGCTTAAATTGAGGACGACGCAGCGAGCAATGGAAAGAAAAATGGTAGGTGTAACCTTAAGAGACAAGAAGAGAGCAGAGTGGATTAGGGGACAAAGGGGGTTAAGGACATTATAGTTGAAATAAAGAAGAGGAAGTTGACATGGGCCAGGCATGTAGCGCGTAGACAGGATAACCGCTGTCATTAAGGGTAACTAACTGGATTCCCAGAGAAGGGAAGCGGGTTAGGGGGAGACAGAAGGTTAGGTGGACAGATGAGCATAAGAAGTTTGCGGGTATAAACTGGCAGCAGCCAGCACAGGACCGGGTTAACTGACGGAACATTGGAGAGGCCTTTGTCCTGCAGTGGACGTAGTCAGGCTGATGATGATGATGATGATGATGATGATGATGATGATCGCACCTAGCGCTTCCCACCCCCCCCCCCCCCCGTGGAACCGCCTGCCCCTGTGTTAGACGCGCATCTAACAACTGTTTTTAGTGTGCTTAACTTGACAGCGCTGCCTTATCATTGAGTATGTTCCCAATATATAGCCCCACACAAGAGCCCTGAATGTAATTGAGGTTTATTTAATTTCCTGTATATAGGAAAAAAAACGAAAAGCAAAAGACTGTAAAGCTTGACGGAGGCTTTTGCTCCGAAATACAGTCTGGTACACAACTTAGACGCAAATAAAAAACCAACTTCTTACACAAAGACTAACAATCCGCAAATTATAATCGGACAAATAAACGCTACAATGTGAAAAAGCACACAACAACATGCATAACAAAAGACAAAATACCATTAGAGAAGAAAAAAAGACATCGTTATCACAATATGTAAAATAGGTGAGATCAATTACCATCGTGTGCAGGCCGGGCGGGTTTTGGGGTGCGCTTGCTCGGTGACGCTTTGGCTGCGGGTGGAGAGCCGTTCTCTCTATCGTTCTCTCGGTCATCGTCAGGTCCAGCCCGCGGTTGTTCCTTCTTCTCCGAGTCGCCGTCGGCCGATACGTCGGGCACGACGTCCGGGGGCCTGGTGGCGGCTGTGGTGGTCGTCGTTGTGGCGCTCCCGCGGCCCTCGACGGCCTTGCGTGCCTTGGTGGCCAAACGCTTCGAGCTCGGGTTGTCGTCCGTCGCGGATTCGCGATCGGTGGCTATGGCTGCACGACGAGACGCCCATTAATAGGGAGCTTTAGAATACCGTTTGTAAGTGCTGCGGGCGTAG